ATCTATTTATTTATCTTAATTTTTAATTTAATTGATTCTCTCACATGTTATTATTCTCACTAGTTTCTGTTATTATTATCATTTATATATTTTATCATCTACTGTCTTTTGTCCTGTACTGTTCCTGTGTGTGTCGGGCAGTGTTGTATTGAAGAGTACAGTGTTAGTGTGGCCATTATTCTACAGATTCTATTTTACTTTAAGATGTTAAATAAAAAGTAATCATAAAAGAAGCAGGAGATCTTAAACACTCTTCTCTTTCAGACTGTTTATACATGAAACACCAAGCTCATATTAATCAGATGACTTCCTGTGTTTCTCATTAACACACTTTTAATCCATTCATAGTGTGAGTGTCTGGTGACAGACTGTCCTCAGTGTCCGGGTGTGTGTGCTGTGGGACGTCACCCACACTCAGCTGTTACAGTGATGATGACAGGCTCAGTGTGAAAGGCCAGGCCTGAAATAGTTTCCCTTGTTTATAATTAAACTGAACCTCCTGCCACACACACACACACACACACACACACACACACACACACACACACAAACACACAGAGGGAGGTAATCGGTGGACTAGTTAGGGGGGCTGATATGTAATGAGTGAGTGCTCAGTATTTAGGGATTCTGGGTGTATATGAAATTAGTACTTGCAGCAGTGGAGCAGGGTTGAGGGGTAATTGCAGGGTGGAAGTATAAAATTGTAGGAGTGGAGGGTGGAGCTGTAGATTCTACATCCAGAGCAGCTTCAACATGAGACAGTGAACCTTTCCTTCACCCAGTATGTTCTTTTTATGTGTTTTCAGGTGTAGCTGTGAGGTCATCGGTGTGATCAGAACCTGTACCTGTGATCATGGACGTGAGGGAGGAGCTTCTGTCTGTTCTGGACAAGCTGTGGACTAAACTACAGGGTCTGCCACAGGCCAGTCCTCTGGAGCTGGGAGCCTTCTTTGTGCTCATTCTGTTTGTTGGTGAGTTTCATCTCTTCAGTATGAAACACAGATGAACACTCACAGTTAACACCCCCACACCACCACACCACCCCCACAGCCCCCCACAAAAAGTTTAACCACCTTAAAAAGAAGGTCTGCAGTGTCTTTAGCGGGCCTGTTTGGATTTCCTTCATGTTTTATTTATTCAGTTAACTGTTCAGATTCACCTGCTATTCATTATTATTATTATTATTATTATTATTATTATTAGGGAGGTCTATAATGTCTAATGTATAATAATGTATAATGTCCTCCAAACAGTTTCAGGGGAGGCTCATTGAATGGAAGGGAAAATATTTCAAGTTATTACATTAGTTATCAAAAGGAGATCAGGTAAATGAGCCTGGATGTGTGTGATTTGGTTGGTAGGGTTGGTAATGTGCAGGACGTTTATCATGCATAATTGGTGAAGCTGCTGGAAACAAAAGGAGGTTGGTGACAGTAAACTGAATCAGTCAAGGTTCAGTCGTGAAAACCAGCTCACACTAACCCCTCCCCCTGTGTCTCCTGTCCCTCTTTCAGCCACGTTTTTCTTCTTGATCATTCTGTCCTGTGTCCACTGCTGCTGCTGTCCAAAGACAAAGTACCAGGCCTCCAGAGTCCAGCCTCTACAGCCGGTCTGAGGAGGAGAGCGGATCAGAGTCCACAAGTAAACCTCATCCTTCATGTCATCATCCACATCACACAAGGCCTTCACTCAGTCACACAAAGGGACAGAGGAGGAAACTGGAGGCGTGTGTCCATGATGTGTACAGTTATAGGAGGAGGAGCCATGAGACGAGGATCCATCATCAAGATTCATAACAGACCAGGACAATGAAACTCTGTGTGTCAGCTCTTTAACAACAAACCCCCCACAAAGCTGAGAGAAGTTCAGTGATTCAGTGTCCTGCTGAAATTCATTAGAAAAACAACATGGAACAACATGTGTATGTTTAGTGGACTTTTCCACAGACACAGCGCCCCCTGCTGGTCCACAGAGGAAGAGTTTTCTAAATGTTTTTAATGTTAAATCTGAGCTGTTGATTGTTTTACGTACAACAGCTATAAATGTATTCTCATTATATTGTCATAGTGAAGTGTTACACCTTTTTTTACTGCCGCAGTGTTCAGAGGTAACGTTTGGTTGTTCTGATGTAAATGTAATAAATGTAATAAATGTTCAACGTTCAAATCTTCAAAGTAAGAAATGTTTTCTCTTTCTCTAGGATCAGATCTAAAGATTCACTCTCACAGTATAAGTCTAATAATTTATCTACTTGTAGTGAAACACTCTCATAAACACACAGTCCCTTATCATCAGACCTCTGCCTGGCCTCCACTGTGTTTTAAGTAAACATTAACCAGGAACCGTCGCTGTTACTTGTGGCCACACAGAGTCAACGACTGTTGTCTGGAGAGCAGGTTTGGAGGCTCCTCGGTCACAAACTGATAGTAAACGGTAATGTTTGGGCTGTATTCAAATAGCTGCAGGGCTGTGAGTGGATCAGAGCAGTAGCTGGAGCATCTGTTCTCACACCACAGTACATTCACTCTGTTGGGAGTCAGTGAGCCGTGAGGATCGCACAGCGGGACATGGCCGTGGAGAGGTGAGTTTCTGAACAGGAATGTGTCAATAGACAATAGATTTTAACATCAGCAGATTTCTACGCAGCACGCTGATAAAACATGTTATAAAATAAAATGTATTATGGCTTCTAGAGACCTTTTCCAGATAATGTGGTTCTATAAAACTATAAAAGTTTAATATCCGGATTCTTCCTCATCTGATACTTGGCCTTGTTTATCTCTGTGTGTGCAGCGTACCTGAGCAGCAGAAACCCGCAGTGTCACCTGAGGACTGGGTGGAGTGGTTCCTGTACCGGCTGCATCAGGAGCCATGGGCCCTGGGTGGTTTGGTGGTCATAGCAGTGTTTGTGCTGGGAACTCTGTCTCTGGTGGTGTTCGCTCTGCTGTACGGATGCTGCTGCGGCCCGACAGACAAGCAGAGGAAGCAGCAGAAGAAGAAGAAGTCAAAGCAGGACGGAGTGATCTAGACCTGTGAAGGAAGGGGTGTTGACAAGATGGAGAATGTGTTTTATGTAGCCTACCTGTCATGCTCACCTTTGGATCATGTTTCACGTGTGGTGGGAATATAAATTGAAACTAAATCTGAATGTTTGCTCTGTCTTTGCTGTTGAGACTGAGTGACACCACAAACTCTGAGGTCTCGTCACTGTGATCAAACCTTGATGAAATCATCATTTCAGATCTGCTCTGCTCTGTCAGTGACAAACAGTGACACCACTGCTTCATTAGGCCTGCAGGATCATCTCCTTTTATGAACTTTATTCCTACTTGATATGATTTTTAAATATCCATCGTCATCATTTCATAAAATCTGCAATGATCCAGTTTTTTTTTTAAATAATTGGTCTAATAAATGAACAAACACAGATCAGTGATGTAGTTCTGGTATCAGACAGGTGATCTGATCTGTAGGTCAGACTCCAACAGACTCTGTTCCAACATTAAAGACTCTGTTTGAACATGTAGTTAAAACCTGCTTCACACTGAACCACAGTTATTTGCTCCAGTTCTACCTGAACATCTGCCAATCTCCAAAACCACTTCCTGCTCAACAGGGGCAGGAAGTGGTTCTGGTTTATTTCTGAAGATGAAGATCACTGTTGTTGAAGTTATGGATCTTTAAACCTGAATAAAAGATTGAAGGTGGGGACATGTCCCTTCTGTCCATACCCAAATCTACACCCATGTCCCTCCCCCACTCCCGTCTGGTTGTCCCCTATCATCCATGGTGTGTTCAGTATCCAGTGCTAAATGTTCAACTGCATCAATTATTAGTTAAATTAAATAATTCTGTAAAATCCTTTTGATTTATTTTTCATTTTTCAGATCAAATATCTGGGACTTTAATGTGTTTGATGAAAACACATGGGTTCTCTGACAGATACATTTGTGGATATTGAAATTCTGCAGAGTTGTGGAAATATTGTAAAAGTGTTGAACTGCTCAATAACAATGCATGTCGACCATGTAAACTTAAAGAATTAGAATATGAAAGAAAACTCACTGTAAACACATTCAGTCAGTCACAATCAGACCAGTTATTTATAACTTTACACACATTTAATGTGATATGTTCCACTATAAATAAGTAAAGGAACAATTAAGTCCTGACACACAGAAACATGTCACTGTAGGAGGAGCCTGTGTTGTACTGAAGGGTCGACTTGTGATGGCTGAATGTTCTCTCAGCTCAACCATGGAATAAGATTTTATAACACATCCATCCAATCCTGATTGTAGCATATAACTGTGGAGAACAGTGAATAATAGACAGAAGTTTAAGTAATAACACAGAACATTATTAATAGCTGTAGCACAGTACTTTTTTTTTTTTTTTAAAGAAGACATGACATATGAATATGCTTTTAAAATATAAAAACGTAAGAAATTATTTGTCAAGGCCGAGTAATAACTGACTAAAAAATCTGGTAAGTTGTAGTTATGTCACATACAGGATCCATTTCTCATTAAAAATGTCCAAAAGACAGTTTAAACTAAATATTGTTGCCTGGTTACAATTTATTGTGGAAAATCTAGTGTGATTTTAGACTTTAACAGTCTATGCCATAGTATATGTCTGTGGTGTATGCAACATTCATGACCAGCCCCAGATCCAGACATGGATGAGTTGTAGGACCAGAATACTGGAGCTAAAATGGCTCCTATTCGATCCTTAAGGATTTCTCTCCTGGCGTCATACATATATTCGGATCTATACATTACTTCCGGGTTTGTATGACCTACTATAGTTCTCCGTCATGCCTCCGGGCTATGAAAAAGAACTTTATTCTGGAACTGCCCCTGCGCGTTCACGAATGCTATGCTAGCCGGATGCTAGCGGACTTAATACCAAAGATCCTCTATACAGTTTCTCTACTGTCTCTGTGCTAGCGTCTATGTGGTGCTCGCTCAACACCGTTTCACTAACGTCATCACTCTGCGACCTAACGTTTCCGCGACGGGTACAGTACAGCGATGGCGAGCGGTAAAAAGAGTGCTCCACTTTCCTCTTTGGCGGACTATGGGGACGATTCAGAGCCCGACTCTGAACCCGAACCAGAAGAGACAGGTACATGTTGTTAACAGGTTTAATTAGTATAAATATAGTGACCGTAAAACGCCGCTTACTGCTGAACTTCAGGTGGTAGCTAACGTTAGCTTGTAACTAGCCAACACAGCTAGATAACACATAATGTTTGTTTTGATTAAAGAACATGAAGTTCAGTCCGAAGTTAATTGAACAGAGGTAAGTTGGTTCTTGCGGAGAGGCCGGTTGATGTTTGCTAAATTTAAAAACGTGACCTTCTCGTGTGTTATGCTGTAAAGTTACCGGGTTCCTGTCTTGACTCGGGTCGCACACCGGTTTGTTTTTACATCGTGATTTGGAAGTGTCCGTCTGGTAAAACAATTATATTGCCAGATTTTTGAATGGAGTTTGGCTTTGTGTTGTCGTTAGTCTCCATATGGGAGCGACATGGATTTAAGCTATTTAAACTTTCACTGCTAGCTTCAGTGTTCCTGTTTGCCCCTGGTAGTTATCTGACCCCTTACCTTTTTCCTGTCTCCACCACCTTTTCATGTCCGTCACCAGGGGGGCGTGGAGGGGGTCTGGTCTACAGCTACGATGAGGATGACTTGAACCGAACAGAGGATGTAGAGGACAAAGTGTCTGGAGATGAAGACAGCAGAGAGAGCAACTCGGTCAGTATTTGAGTTCTGAAGTCCAGGTGTTAAATCTAAATATGAGTAAAAAACAATAACAACAATTCAAATACTAATAAAGTGCTCCCACAGCATGTAGAAAACAAGGTGAACAGACACACCTGAGAAGCACCGGGTGGTTCATCGCACAGTGCTTTCAGTAACACCTGTGTGATTCTTCATTGTGATGCAGCAGAGTTGGTTTTTTAAACACAAATATCACAGAGTTCAGTTTAACAGTGGAGCTGAAATCTTCCTTGTCATTCTGAAATGTTCCACAATTCAAATATCAAACAGTCACCGTTTACAGCCTGTTTAATGTCAGGATTGTGTGTGTGTGTGCACGCATGTGTGTGTGTCTGTGTGTTGTAAAGTGTATATCTAAAGTGAATATCTTGGGTTTTGACAAACACTTTAGATGATGTCATCTTGGCTTTTTTTACTGCCAGTATTTTTGATGTTTTATAGACTCAGCAATTAATTAATAAAATGATCAGCTAATTAATAGATAATGGAAATAATCATTAGTCGCAGTCTTATGCTCGACCACCAAAACTCTGACCACAGCGCTGTAATCTGATGTCACTGTGAAACTGGTTGACAGCTCCTTTAATGCAGCGATAAACATCAGACAACACCTACATCTGAGTTTAGTTATTCTGTTTGCATCAGTGATGTATTTGAAAACTGCAGTGAAACGGAACCATATTTAAAATGAAAATTAAGATTTCACATCATCTGTCACTTGTAGGTTTCACATCTTATGTCTTGTATTTATGTGTCAGTAATGAGAGAAAATAAAGGCAGTTCAGACCATGGAAAACAAACAGTTAGATGACACAACAGTGTGTATTTACAGGATTGGTGCTGCTGCTGCTGGAGGTGTTAGTTATGTAACTGAAGTGTTTTTATGTAACTGAAGTGTTTTACAGTTTTATACAGTTTCACACCAGTAAACGCCTTTACAGTCACATGTAACATGATGTTCCTGTTTTGTTTTTAACAGAAATGTGTATCAGTCCAGTTGTAACTTAAAATACAGAATCAAACGGAAATCATTAAAAAGACTCTGTAGTGGGAGAGGAGGGTCTAAAACATGAAGAGGGCAGTTTTTTCAGTCCACTGCTGGTTCTGGTTCTGGTATGTGCTGCTGCCCCCGGCCCTGGTCTCTTGTCCCTCTGAGCCGTACAGTGTTAACCCTCTCATTCTTGTTTTTATAGGAGATGGAAGATTCTGACGAGGGGAGGGACGCAGATGATGTTGAGGTATTTGAACACCACCTGGTGTGGCAGGGACTGGATCTGGAAACGGATCAGACCTGATCCATTTCTCATTTGTTGTGTGACTAACGAGAAACGAGGGGACGGCACTTGAACTCGCATGATATGAAGAAGCATGAACACTAGGTGGTGCTGTGGGTTTATATGTGTGTGAATAACAAAAGAGGAACTTTATGTAGATGAGACCAGGTCTGTGATTTGTGCTGATGGTATGTTCCAGCTTCATGTTTGTTAAACCTGAACCAGCAGAGCACACTGCTCAGACCTGCACTGTTCTACCATACCAACCCCACCCTGTGTGTGTGTGTGTGTGTGTGTGTGTGTGTGGTGTCACCGAGGTGAGAGTGAGTCATAAACACAGCGTTAGTCAGAGGATGTCTGTTGTTGTACAGCTGCAGGTCTTTGATGTGAATCTGATAAACTGGTACCTCTGTTCAGTGTGAGACCACCACACTGAGATAACAGAGCTGCTAATGTAAAGATCTTGTGATATATATCATTATATAACCTTTGTACCGACCAAGTAATTTGATTGGACGAGAGTCATTCCATGAGTGCTGATACAGAGTACAACAATACTGGGACTTTTAACTACATGTATCACTCCGATTTACAGGTAATTAGTGCCGCACTAACGGTTGTTAAAGGGAAGGAAAGAAGCCTGGATGCCGAATCACAGCTGTGCTGATATTCAGTACGACATCACTCCCCCTCGTGTGATAATGCTTTTATACAACAGTTCTACGAGCGCCATTTTAGTTAACAGTAATAAGCAACAACAGATTATGATTTGTTTGTGTATTTAATCATTTATTTGGCTACACCAACACAAATACTCCCACAGCTGGACTGGTGCCAGACTGTTGCTAAGCAACACATAAACATTTTACTGACCTGCACACTAGCTTGCTACTTTGTCTACACATTACTTCAAGGCTGAAAACAGTTCAAAGTCCATGTTGGTGCTTTACAGTGTCAGCTTCATTTTTGGTCTTCTCTAATTTGTCGAGGTCAGCTGATGTCATATGAGCGCTTCTTCCCTTCATCCTCTTCTGACGACCACACATCATTTAATTCAAATGTGATTTCTGAAAATATTTTCATCTTTGCAAAGTTTGTTCAAATCTAAGACGGATAACGATCGTTAATGTAACGCTGATTAACAGTTAATAGAACAGAGTGATACATGTAGTGAAAGGTCCCCTGGCTGTTGTACTCTATATCAGCACTCATGGAATGACTCTCATCCAATCAAATTACTACAGAACTAACTGTTGTCTGAAGTTGAATAATTACCACGTTGACTATGTTTGTATGAAGCCCTCAGTGTTGACTGACAGGTGTCAGCTCTGGTGTTTAGCTTGTTTAGGTTCAGATGTATTAACCGACATGAGGAGAGTGAATGTTAGTGTGAGCTCTCTCTCCATCCTTTCACTTTATTATTACTGCAGTTATCTAATCTGTGGATGGAGTGGCAGCTCTTCGTTGGTGTTTTGATACCGTTCTGGTGAAGTGTAGATAAGGAGTCAGCACAAAGCTGGAGCCTCTTTCCCGGGGCTCTGAGAACGTCTTTGAAGTGTTGGTGCAGCCCTTTATACTGAAGGGGAGGAGCTGCCAGTGTCAGGCTGTTGTTGCATTGGCTGGCTGGGCAGGCATATATTATATTTATGTATTTTATTTCATTTATTATAATCTACTGACTGAGCTTTACTTTTTATCTAGCGCCACCTGCAGGTGAACTTCTTTTAAACTAGTGAAATCTGATACAGATGTTCAGATCCAACTGGAGGATAAGTTGTAATAATTTTCCTTGAGCGCCGCCATCAGGTCACAATCAGAATCTCCCAGTGTGTGACAACAGTCACGTCAGCCTCAGCTACACTGACGAGGTAAACATTATACCAGCTAAACATTAACATGTTAGCATTGTCACTATGAGTATGTTAGCCTGATAATTTTAGCATCAATAGCATGACTGTAGAGTCTTAGCCTTGTTTGAGGACAACCACTTTTTTCCTGAATGAAAATGAGGCAGAGGATCAACCTCAGACCTCCTACAGAGATTCTATTTATTTATTTTCTATTAAAAAAACTTAAATATCAAATCATATAGCATCTGGACTGGGCTTTAGAGCCTGTATTACAAACAGAAGGTAACCCAGTCCTGCCCTGGTGACAACAGATAAATTGAGTGTGCAACAAAGACATCTGGTTATTTATATATTCAAACAATAAATACACAAAGACAACAGTTGTTTACTCAAAACCAAAGGATCTGATTTCCAGTCTGCTGCTGAAACAGTGAACTGTGCCAAAAAAAATAGGAACTGCTGTGTCGTCCAGTCCAACAGACAAAGATGTGAAGGGTTTCTGTTGAGACTGTGGAGGAGGAGTGTATTCACCTGTAGGTTGTGCTGGGTATGTTGTATTGCTGTTGTATAGCTGTTGTATTGTTTGGTAGCTGCTTGGTCAGAGTTGCTGCTGCACATCACAGATGAAACATGATGCGTACACACACAGCCTGAATCGAGACGTACTTTGTGATAAAAGTAGATGGTTTTTGCTGGTTATTTTTACAGTGTGGTCACAGATTCAGATTCAGTTTTACATCAAAATGTGAGAGAAAGCTTCATGTTAGAGACCAGGAGTCAGACGTCCAGTTAAATGTTACCTTTGTGTTTCCTCACATCTGTCTGACACACAGTTCTCCTGGTCTGGTAAATTTAAATTCATAAAAACATTGAGGACGCTGCTGCAGTGTTTTAGCTCGGTGTGACCTCTGACCTGATGAGGTCAGTGAAGTGATGAGTTCATTGTCTCAAACAGCAGGTGTCCTGGATGTATTTCCTTGGTTTGGATTTATTCTAGCAGGAACCTTCCTCCCTCCTCTCCCCTCCTCTCCCTCCTCCTCGTGATTTGGCCAATCTCAGGACCATTCTTTGATGTGCCCGTGCAGTTGCTAGGTGACGATGTGATTCCTGTGAATAACAGCCCTGTTCCTTTGTGCTGAACCTGTGTTCTGCCCACAGTGCTGGCACAACAGGCATCTCCTCCTCCTCCTCCTCCTCCTGTTGAGGCCTCTCAGATTTACTGCTCTGGTTTCTATTACTTCTTAGAAGCCTTTCTATCTGCTTCTGTTCTGTGCACTGCTGCATCACATCTGCGATTTGTGGCTTTTAGCTACAGATGGAATTGGTTTCTGTTTCCAGCTCCATGTTTTCACTAGAATTGACTTTGGCCAATTGGACAGTTTATCTCATCACTTATAATCCTCTGTAATTAATACGAGCCCATCTGAGAGCACGGGTCAGTAACATCATGTTTCCCTCCACTGAGAGTTCATGTTTGATTCTCCTGGGTCAGTTTGTTCTTATGTTGACCATCTCACTCTGACTGCTGTGTCGACCCACGTCTACTAACCAGCCAATAGGAACGCAGCATGAAATTATGTCTATGTATGTTTATGCTAGATAATACTTACCTCATGCTCTTTTTGTAAAAATTGTGTCCCATGTTGGCCTCTTCCTTCTCATCATCCTCCTACTCCTCCTCCTCTTTGATGTTTTTCCATATATATAAATAACACTGTTAAAAAGGCTTGTTTCTGTAGTGCTGCAGATAGATGATGTTTTATTCTTGTGTATTGACTGAGTCGGTTCAGGTGTCGATCATTGTACAGTGTGTTAGACCACGGTGTCTCACAGTGTGACCTGATGAATCTGTCAGTGTGTAGACGCCTCAGAGGAAACCTAAAGATCCTCTGTGTGCCTTTCCTCTGTGTTTTTACAGATCTTAGAGGCAGAAAGAAAAGACCCCAATGAGCTAGTTGGTGAGTACACACACACACACACACACACACACACACACACACACACACACACACACAAAGGATAAAGCTGCTGCTTCTCATTATATCCCATGAAAAGCCCTGAACCATCAATGACCTGATCCTAAGAAGAACTGTGGGTGTCTCCACAGACATGTGCCCTAACCCTAACGCTGGCTGACACGGTCCTTTATTAGTATGAACATGTCACTAAGGTATCAGGACCATCTGACATGTGAACTCCTTCAGATGAATCATTCAGATCGAATCATTAAAAGTGTTTATGTTTAGATATTTAATGTTAAAAGTTCAGTCTCTGCTAGTCAGAACATGTTATCTCTGGACCTGCTGCAGGGAGGGAGACAGCAGCCGGGGGTTAGCTGGTTAGCAGCGACTCAACTTTCAAATTAAAGTACTTACATATAGTAGCTTGTAAATAAATAACAGCACTGTCCAAACAAATACTCCCTATTATTATTATTTGAAATATAATAAAAATCAAGTGTAATATCCAAATCGCAGGAGCTGCAGTAAGCGTTGTGATGCTACAGAGACGCCCCACACATCACACTCTCCAGACGTGAAGGAACAAGATCCAACCAAAGTCACATCAACTGAAATCACAATCACAATATCTGCCAAAATAATCGCAACAAAAAATTTTTTGTGGGTGAAAAACAGCAGCGAGCAGACAAACATCTGAAACACACAAATCAGGACCTCGGGTCAGGACTTTCACAATAAAATCAGAGCAGAAACAGGAAGCAGATCATAGATTGAGATTGTCGTGGGATCTTTCGCCCACCTCTAGCACCTGATGTGGATCACAGGGGACCTGAAGGACTTGATGAGTCATTCCTCAAAAAAAACCAAAAAAACATGATGAAACAAAATGTTTAAACTAGTCTGAATGTTTTCTCTGTCCTGCCATGAACAATGATAAAATATGTTTTTGTGGGCAGGTTTTGAAAGAAGCTTCAAAGAACTTTAAAGAATTCATCATTTTTAATTAGTCAAAGGTCCAGGTCACATTTCTCTAATTAGATGTTATTGTTTTAAACTGGAAATGAAACATGATTCTCGCTGCTGGTTTTCATTCGTTCTCTGACGTATGAGTCACTCACTGGAACCAGGTCAGTTACGGGGGCTGACAGGTGGGAGTGAGTGTTTAACCAGTGGTCAGTGAGTCATAAGTGACCTGTACAGGTGTGATCAGATCAGACAGGAAGTGAGTGATACAGGGAGTGTTAGTGTGAGTGTGGGTGTGTGTGTGTGTGTGTGTGTGTGTGTGTGTGTGTGTGTGTGTGTGTGTGTGTTTTATACAGCTGTCTCTCAGAACAGAAAGAAGGTCTCTGTCTGCTGTTTGTTGTGTGGGCCTGTAGATTATACAACACAGCAATCATCATCATCGTCATCATCGTCATCATCATTTCATGTGACGATGCTTAGCTTTGAGGAGAAACGATTAAAATCATTAAATGAATTAATTTTTTGCCTCAATATATTAATTTAAATTTTAACATCATGAAATACAGCCTCTAGCTTTTGTGAAATATACTGTATATTTCATCATGTACAAGCTGCATTCACTCTGAACACAGGAAGGAATAAGAATAAATAAATAAAAACAAACAAACAGACAAAGGCTCATCTCATCTTAACAACTGGCAATCTATTCAAAATGGAGAATATTGATTATAATGATACAAAGTAAAACAAGTGATTAGAGGACGAGAAAATAATTAAATAAATAAATACATAAATCTCATTCAATCTAAATCTTTAACAAAATGAATAAAGGGCCTCCATATATTCTCAAATATTAATATGTAGGAAATCATTTCTAATGGAAGACTTGATAACATCTGTCTTATCCACTGAGTCGTGCTTGGTCTGCAGTGCATATGCATGTGTTTGGCATAAAGCAGACTGAGGTCTATAAATGCTCGTTACTCAAGTTATGTTTCTCTGGGTGTAGAGCAATGAGTTTATTTTGAATGGAGATGAACTTGTCAGGCTGTAGTGTCTCTAGCTCCTCCATCACCATCTCCACCACTGCCTCCTCCTCCTCCTCCTCCTCCGGTCCGTGGCCGACGGAAGGAGAAACCACAGAGCGACTGGAGGAAGTTTAGTTTTCACCATCACAGTGACTCAGAGCCTGGACACTTGACATTCCTGCAGCAGAGCCTGGCTCCTCTGTCCCGTCTGTCAGTAAATGTCACAGAGCGTCAGCAGCTGAACACAGCTCTCTGTGTGTTTGCTGAGGGGATGGAGTGTCCATCACACACACACACACACACACACACACACACACACACACACACACACACACACACACAGCCTCAGGCCACAGATTGTGACTTTCTGTCTGTTTTGTGAGACAGATGGTGACTCTGAAGCAGAGAATAATCTTCTCTGTGTTCCCATGTTCTTCACGTCTGTGCTGCTGTTAATGAGAGTATTCCTGTCACACTGAGCTGAGTGTTTGTTAAGCCCCTTTTCCACTGCTCGAAAAAAACCCGCTAAGACCTGCTCACATCGGGCTTTTGTCGGCAATGGATGAGGATTCAAATCAGTATTCACACCGGGGTCACATGAACCTGCAGTAATCTCAGGTGTTTATCGGCTCGGTGATAGAAACACAACACCCAGGTGAACTCGCTAATTTTCTCGCCTTTCCCTGCCGTAATGCTCTCAGTCAGGAGGTGAACGAGTGAACGCAGCCACTAAATAAGTTTTTAAAACTAACAATCACCAATCAAAGGCTCCGATTTACAGCAGCACCAACCCAGGGATGAGACGAGCGGCTCGCAGCTCGCTCTCTCTCTCCACTGCGTCTCTGTGCGTCCTCAGTCCGAACAGAAAGACTAACTTGACTGTCAGTGGAAAAAGGAGCCAATCAGCTTTTTAAAAAAAAAAAACAACCTATTTATACCTGCTAATGTTGGTGGAGAAAGGGTATAAGGCAGACTGACTGATCCCCCTGCAGTTTATGTTAGTGTTTAAGTTAGAGTTGGTCCAACAAGGCTCCTAATGACGGAGTAAATCTCCTGTTGTCCACAGTGGATTAACAGACTCCCACAGTGTGTGTCTGTCTGTCAGAGGTTAACGAAGTACCGAGCTAACAGCTAACTCTGACTCATCGCTCGTTATGTTTTTGTTCCTCAGTCAGGACCTGAGGCGTCGTGTTCTCAGGTCGTCTCGACAGACACGTGTCCGTCCATCTGTCCATCTAGATCTTGGTGGTCAAAGGTCAAAGATCACGGCGGCCATATTCTGGAGAAGCGTTCGCTTCACGTTCAGCATTTTAACAGTATCAGAATGACTGTGAGTAGATCGACGGAGCGTTGTGCTCAGGGGAGGACTGTGCCAACACATTCCTGGTCCTGGTTTTTCCCAGTATCATAAGGATCTGTATCGACCTGTCTGTGTGTTCACTGGAGTCTGAGACAGATCTTTCATTTTAATCCACTCTTCTCTGGAACTCACATTCAACCAGGAATAAAACTCCTCGTTTTCATTTGAAATTAGATTTTCCTTTTTATGTGTCTGCGTGGGTCGTAATTAAATGTGATGACATGGGTTTGCCGTCATTACATCATCAGTAGGGTTTGTTTTTTTTAGAAATACAAAAATGATGATGGTGAGATTTTTGTTGGTCTTGTTCCTTTACGTCTGGAGAATATAATTCGTCAGCCAGGACGTCTCTGTAGCATCACAACGCTAATGGTGCTAACGATATACACAACATTGGGACACGTTTGACCTTAATCAAAAGAAACTGCAGCTCCTGTGATTTGGATATTGCACTTATTGTTAATCAGATTATATTTAGATAAATTGTGCAGCTTTAATTATCAGCACATAGAGACCTGATAACAGACCTGTAGGGAGTCTGGTCTGGGTGGAGGTCTGACACACACACACACACACTCTCTCTCTCTCTCAGCTTTACTGATGTATGTAGCCAACAGAGGCAACGCCCTGCCCCTCCTTTGGGGGAGCTAAACCAGCACAGCTGAGGGGGGAGGAGCTGCTCCTCCTCTGACATGTGGGAGATCAGGGAGTCCCACATGAGTCTGTGGTCCTCCAGGTTTCATCTGTGAACCACTGATGTTGATGTCCACAGGCATGACGTGGTCTGAGAGGACAGACCACATCAGATACAGATACTGATTCTTCATCATTGTTGATTTTCTACAAACTTCTAATTTCTCCTTTTTAAAAAAAGTTTTTCAAAGTTACATTTTTTTATTTTAATTTAACAGTTTATACAAGAGCCAAAAAATGAGTCTAAATTCATCCAGATGAGTTCTAACTGTAAATCAGGAAGTTCTTGTGTATTGACTGATAGATTATTATATTATTATTATTATTATTATATATAACATGTGGACAGATGTGTAAGAAGATGATGTACAGAAAAGCTGCAGAAATTTAGAAACAATTTGTGATGTTTCTAGTAAGACAGCTGTGTTGTAGTATCGTATAATAATATAATACACTATGATACACTATAATACACTATGATACACTATACCATGTGTTCATTGTGTCAGAGTAAAGCTCTGAAGAGGATTTACCTGCAGCATCACAGTCTCTACACTGACAGGTTTATTCATCTGCTCCAAACTCACCCCGGTAGTTGTTAAATCAGATCATAGGATCTTTATCTAAAATAAATTCTCAGTATGTTTTTAAACTGACCTCAGTTCAGTTTGTGAGGACGTTACTGTGGAATTTTCCTCCTCTGTTTCTCTAATATGAAGTTTTCACTGAGACGGTACAACAAAATCATCTTCTCATGTCCTGTCAAGTTTTTACCTGCAGACGATCTGCACAGAATGTCAGAGCGCACACACACACACACACACACACACGCACACGCACATGCACACACACACACACACACACACAGAGCTCGCAGCAGTTGTTCAGAGTGTGATTGATGGCGCTGAGCGACTGTAAAGACTGTCTGTCTGATACAGAGTGACACTGAAGAATGTCTGGCCTCCAGTCAGAGAAACACAAAGAGGCAAGTGGAGCAGGGAGAGCAAAACAAGGGAGAGAGCGAGGGAGGGAGGGAGAGGAGCCTCCCTTCTCCTTACAAGCCTCAACAACAGCCACTCCCTGTCCTGAGCATGCACTCCTCATACCACACTGCCCTATAAAACACACTGCCACACACACACACAGGGTCTGACTAACACACACACTGACCCTTTGTTTCATGACCTGAGTCTGTTTTTCGAACCTGATCCTGATCCCAGCTGCCCTCTGATTTGTCAGGTGTTAATTCAGAGTCAGTTGAAACAGCAGCTTCTTGGTTGAAGCTCAGTCTGCAGGTAGAGACATGCAGCCGCTGCTGAGTGAGGACGCATGTTTCTTTCTTCTCTACAGCTCTCTTCTCAGAGAAGGTGAGGAACATGTCACCTGACGAGATCAGGATTCCCCCCGAGCCCCCCGGACGCTGCTCCAACCAACTACAGGTCTGTCACATGATCATTTCACCCAATAACTGTCGCTGCAAAGCTTCATATGTTACCACACTTCAGTCCACTGATCAGACCGGAGCAGAAGGTCCGGTCGCCACACACTGTAGATAAAGATGGACGTAGCCTCAGTGACGTCACCCACAGGTTACTGAAGAGTGAGCTGCTCCACCGCCACCATCTTGGCAGTGCCTGACTCCACCCCTAACTCCCAACTAATCCAAAAATGGGCAAGGAGGAGGGGCATGGGTGGAGCTAGTCTAATAACTGGGACAAACATACGCTCCTGTTAGCATCATTAGCACAGCTTGGCATCCTGCTCGAAGGCCACCCTTAGGAGTATTCATTTGCTGGCTAATTAGCTAGTTAACAAGCTAAGCTAACAAGCCATGTAGCTCAGACTTCCTCATGTTCTGTCAGTCAGTTAACAACAAGTCAAATGATCTGTCTGATGTTCACCTGAAGAATCCACAGACTGTAAATAAAGATGGACGTAGCCTCCTGTGACGTCATATACAGGTTTCTGAAGCTCAGAGTGAGCTGCTCCACCGTCACCATCTTGGCAGTGTCTGACCCTGCCCCTAGCTCCCAGATAATCCAAAAATGGACAAAGAGGATGGGCGTGTGAGGAGCTGAGACTTTGGTGCATACGCTCACCCACCTGTCACTCAAAGAGGCCACGCCCTCAATCCTCCATAACTGTAGTCCTTAATAAAATGTAAATAGGTGAGTTATATAAACAGGCTGTAAACATGTTGATTTCTGCTGTAAAGTTGGACACTTTAACATGGGAGTCTATGGGGACTGACTCACTGTTGGAGCCAGACTCTAGTGGTCGTTAGAGGAACTGCAGCTGCTGGTTCTTCAGTGCTGGCTTCATGAATCAGCCCCGGATGTTGAAGCTTGGTTTTATTCTGACTGTAAACTTGTTTTTATAGACAAGATAAAAAGTTTAGGGAAGATAAGGAAACTTATCTGTCTGTTTAGAGTTTAGACGTTAAAGAGTTAAACTGTAGAGTTAAAGTGAAGGGTTAGTTGGTGATGGCCCCCCCTCCCTCGGAGACAACACGTCGTCATCTTGGTGTTGATTGAGTCAGATTCAGATGTTCTCCATCAGAGTGAATACTTTAGTGTGTCTGGTTCCCTCTGGGGTTACAGATAAGTTCTGGTGGCTTCATAAATCTGAGACTCCTCCCTGTAATTACAGTGAGATCCTCAGTGTCAGTATCAGCCGCTCTCTCTCTCCTCTGTGGTTAACTGCAGTGAGGAGCCGGGGCAGGTCGGGACACACGGCTGACTCAGTAAGTGAAAAGCTCAGCACTATCCCCGCTGGGCTGACACTCCCCCACCTAATGATTCACCTTCGCCAGAGCTGCCTGGATATCCCTGCCCTCCGGCTGCGGAGGAGCAGGCGAACGCAGCCTGATTGGATTAGGAGGATGGTTTTTATAGTTAATTAGATTTTTTTTCTTTTCACCACTGATGGAATGTGCGACCCTGAGATTAGAAAATCCCACTGTCAGTTCACAGAGCGACTCCCCCAGAAAAACCAACTGTATCAGCTGTTTATCACATGAACAGAAGCAGGACCTCAAACAGACACGGGCCACAGAATATGACTGGATGTGTTAAATCACGGATGATCCTTTAACTCATCAGTCATTAGTGTGATCACTGAGAACAGCTGGAGCATGGTGAGATGATCTGATGATCTTATTTTGACATATGATCTAGTTCAGACGAGTCGTACAGAAGTTTCTATATTTACATATTTAATTGAACCTGACCATGTTGACTGCTAAACAGCTAGCCCGCTAACCGCAGCTGGTCCTGGTTCTGCTCTGCAGCCTCCGTGAGCTGGTGTAACTCCACATGAACCGGTTCTCCGCCTGAGCCACCGTCACCAGCTGTCAGGACTTTCACAATAAAACCAGAGAGGACACAGGAGTCATGATTCTGGCCACAAAGACTGTCATGTGATCATCTTGGACTTGGAGGAGATGAGGAGGAGGTGTTGCTGTGGAGCAGCTTCCCTTCCTCCATGTTGTTGTTGTCAGGCCTCATTTATCTCTGTGCTGCCTCCAGCTGCCAGATTTCTGCGGCTTTGTTGAACCTGGTTGTTAAATATTTCCCAGAGGTGTCAGAGACTTTATTTAAACCAGCAGAGTTAATCATATATACTGTTTGTATGTAGGTGTTGTTAGATGACAGTGACAGTGTGCGGACAGGTGTGGACAGGTGTGGATGTCCTGCTGTCGGCTCACCTCCCTCTGGTTTGTGTTGTGACAGGAGAAGATCCACAAGCTGTATGAGAGGAAGCTTCATGGAGACTTTGACACAAACAGCCACATCCAGAAAAAGAAGGAGTTCAGAAACCCCAGGTACACACACACACACACACACACACACACACACACACACACACAGATCAGCACAGTCACTCATTCACCTCCTCTGGTTCCTTCAGTATCTACGAGAAGCTCATTCAGTTCTGTGGGATCGATGAACTGGGAACCAACTACCCAAAGGACATGTTTGATCCTCATGGCTGGTCAGACGACTCCTACTACGAAGCTCTGGGTAAGACTGCGTGTGTGTGTGTGTGTGTGTGTGTGTGTGTGTGTGTGTGTGTGTGTGTGTGTGTGTGTGTGTGTGTGTGTGTGTGTGTGTGTGTGTGTGTGTGTGTGTGTGAGCAGCTCAACACTCTCGTCTCTCTCGTTCTTCAGCTAAAGCTCAGAAGGTGGAGATGGACAAACTGGAGAAAGCCAAGAAGGAGAGGACCAAGGTGAGCCGTCACACTGACGACAAGAACCAGATGTTGATGGGTCTTTGAGGGTTTGTTGACCAGTGGAAAAGGGGGGAGGGAGAAAACAGTGACTCATGCTGCGATCATCAGCAGCTGCACATCAGTCAGACACTGGACTTGAACGAGCAGGTTCACTCAGGTTAACTCATTATTTCTGAAGAGGTTGACCCTGAGACTCCATGAGGACCTTGAGGTCCTGTGGTCTGACGAGGGTCTAGAAAAACATCACGTCCTGGTCCAGATGTTGAACTGTGATGAGAGGATGATGGAGAGACTGATTCACATCATATTGTGTCATTATGTGTTTCATAGATTGAGTTTGTGACGGGGACGAAGAAGGGCACTAACCCCTCCAGCACAGCAGCCCCCACCACCAGCAACACCACCACCACCACAGCCACAGGTAAACACCCACCACTGACCCGGCTCTTTAACACAGACCCGACGTGCGGCCTGTGACCTCGTTCCCTGATTTTAGTTCATTTTAGTGACTGGTTAACAACAACTCTGTCACTGTCACTTCCTGCTTCAGATGTTGTTAAACTGTGATTGGTGGATAGGAAAACACAAACAGATTCACAAACTTCATGTGTTGTCATAGAAACTGGACTGAATCAGTCACAATGAGACAAATATCACTGCAGTGTTATGAAGCTCATTGTGTTTCACAGAGTCCATTTCCCCCCCAATGAAAACATTTACAGATCATTTTTTTAAACCCAGTGTTGTTGACTGACCTCTGACCTCTGACCTGCACCCTCAGTGTGAAAACATACTGTTATCACACCTATAAACATGGTGACTCAGGTACCAGACCCGGGTCCTGGTCTAGATCCTGATCAGTCTTCTTCTCTCCAGCAGAGGCCCAGAAGAGGAAGAGTAAGTGGGACTCTGCGATCCCTGTGACCCTGGCCCAGCCCACCCTCATCACCACCACGGCCACCCTGCCCAACGTCGTCTCCGTGACAACCACTGCCAGCGGTACCAAAACCACAGTCATCTCTGCAGTGGGCACCATCCTGAAGAAGGCGAAGCAGTGATGGAGCAGGGGGCGGAGCTAGTGATCCCCAACAGAGACTGACATAAACACCTGGAACACCTGTGTTCTCTTTCACTTAGTATACACGTGACGAGACGCAGCGTGAGGACAAACGACCTGAGAACTCTACAGAGACTTCCTGCTCCACCTGGACCAGACTCAGACCTCCTGCTCCACCTGGACTAGACTCAGACTTCCTGCTCCACCTGGACCAGACTCAGACCTCCTGCTCCACCTGGACCAGACTCAGACCTCCTGCCTTCTGTCTCTGGGACAGTGTGATGGCTGCTGTTTTTCATCTTCCTGTTTATTAGTTTAACATGAATGTGACCTGGTTCAGTAAGAAAACGACTCTGACTCAGTTCTGGTAGAAACATCTGAACAAAGTTTATTTTTATATCACACTCGTAGTTCAGTGTTTTCATGTCTCAGCGTTTTCAGCTCTGTGTTGTAGCTCAACGTGTCGTTCTTCAGAGGTTTTTTTCTCTTCAGATTCAGATTTTTTTACACTTGTACATATGTGTTGATGATGGTGAATAAATGGATCAGATGTTGCCTTTTCAGATGGATTAATGTGTGTTTTTGACCTCGTTTCTCTGAATCAGAAACAGGTTGAAGTTTTGCTTTTCACATGAAGATCAAACATGTTTTCTACATGTGGCTGTGGCGGTGATCTGTTACTGACACACACACACACACACACACACACACACACACACACACCACTCTTCTGTGTCTTTCCACAGGGAGTGTGCGTGTTCCAGGTGGAGTTTGAGCATTAGCAGGTTGAAGCTGACAGTGTGAGAAGTTTCTCACTGCCCTGTGAACTTATGACGGATGAAGAGCCTCCATCTGTTTCCTGCTGCAGAGGGAGGGGACAGTCGTTAACACTGAGAACATGTACAGATGACTTCTTTGTATTCTGTTGTCTGAACCCGAACCTGCAGACCCAGTGATAATCGTGTCAGACTCGGGGGCAGTTTCCTCCTGCTGTGGATCAAACAGGTACAAACTCACATGATTATTACAATTTTATTAATCAGGTTCATTCTGTATAATTACAGGAGTTCACAGGGGAGATCAATCAATCAATCAATCAATCAATAAAAGTCACAGTAAAGTCTTCTCAGTGTGTGGTGGTTAAGTTTGATTTTCATTTCAGTTCCTGTGACCAACCAGCCCCTTGACCGTTTATATTGCCAGTGCACGGGGAGTTGTGTTCACACTTTCTCGATTTTATTAATGTTTAACTTTTGTGTCTGTAAAAGATGAAAAGGTTGTAAAGTGATGAAACTCACATGGAGGTCGAGGTGTGCTGCCGGTCCCTGACAGATTGTGGATCTTAGTCATTCAGGTGAATCGCACCCATGTTTGGCCACGAGCCATGACATCATCAACCTTATCAAAGGTCCACTTCCTGCTTTATCATAACATGTTTCTGCATGTTCTGCTCTCACTCCGGTTCCACTCAGTGCAGAACCAGAACTCCTGCAGCCTGACTGACAGACTGTCCTTCGTCATACTGGACTGATGCTGTGTTTGATCTTTGAAAATTGTTAAATTTAACTGTAATTGAAACCGTATCGATCACTTCTCCTTCACAGTACAAATCACAGTTTTACTGTGAAATCTGATTCATCAGGTTTGATTCAGACTCTATTTCACCACTGATCGGATCCATGTCTCTGCAGGTGTGTTTGTGTGTGAGCGTGAAGCGTTCAGGTGAGTCACACCTGGTGAACACCTTGTACTGAACAGGTCACAACTTCCCCCTGATCAAACTCTCCATCCTCTGACGTCACATTTCACTCTCAGCTGTTTATGCAACAACATGAACAGATTCCCATTCCTGCAGCTGCCGCAGCATGTCGGCTTATGATGCGTTGAACTGTCTGGTAACTGGTTAACAGTTAATCTTTATGACATCTCCCTGATTGCAGCTGTAAATAAATTTGAAACTATGTTTTAGTGTTTTCATACTCAACACTCAGACCTGTCTCACTGCTCACTGAGATGTGTCTCTGTGCAGACGCCTTTATAAACAGTGAATGAAGCCACTGATCCAAAAAGCTGTTTTTGTCATGTAAATTGGTGAAGAGAAAAACAGACCGAGTGAGCGGCTCTGTCTCTGATGATGAATTCAGTTCACCACAGCTTCTGTTCTTCGCTCATCCTCTACATCTTTGTTAAGACTGATAGAGATGAATGAGTCTGCTGCAGCTGTAGTGGCTCTTCATGCGCAGTGGACATGACACGGTGTAGAAATTTAGTATCATGATTATAGTGACCAAAATGATCACGGTTATCAGTATTGTCACGGTATTGGTAAAATGTGCTGAAAATAATATATATAGCAGTAGCAAGGAAACAAGCAAATTACACTGATTTATCATCTCTGTGAGAGATCTGCTGTAAGTTTGAGAAGTTTGAGACAGAATATTGTTACAGGAAGAGAGCAGCTCCTTTCAGGAATAGATCATAGATCAATATGGAGAGAGAGAGGGAGAGAGAGAGACAGCGGTGAGGCTGGCAACCGGAGCAGAGAGTTAGCTAATTAGTTAGCAGTGTAGCTGTGAGAGTATGGCTGTCAGTAAATAAATGCTACGACTCAAGACTGAAGTGATATTTTCCTTCATACTGCACATTTGATGTGTTTACTGTCAGTTCAGAATAATCCTAAAACGTCTTCAGACAGGAAGGAGTGCAGAGAGGTGAGGACAGTTTCAGTCTGGTCCATGTTTTTCTTGTTGGTGCAGTAAACAGCTGAACCAGGTGGGTAGTGGGGGTGGGGGTGGGGGTGGGAGTGTACGTTAACTGCTGGGGGTCAGCACCTGTTAACTGAAAGCTCCAGCCGAGGAGGGAAAGTTGCACTCTGGTAACCCATGGACAAATTAGAGGAATGATACAGTGGGTGGGCCACACCCTCCGGCTCCTCCCCCCCAACATGTGAAAGCTGTTTGGACTGGCACCACTGCTGAAGAGGCCAATGGTCCTCAGCCAAGGAAGCCGGAGAGGAGGGAAGAGGTGTTCCTGCTGCACTGAAGTTGCCCATTGTATCAAACCAGATGTGGTTGCTAGGAGCCTGACGGAGTATGTTCAGATTGCCCAATGTGGTCTGTACACAGGAACTGTTCTCTCTCTTGAATCCCAGAACTGAGTCACAAGTACAGGACGGGTCCTTTATCAGTGTCTGTCTGAGTCCAGTTATAAAGGAGTAATAAGTTGCAGCAACAGTGATTTTAGAATAACCTTCAACACCTGATGTGTGGTCTGCTGGAGCCAAGAGGAAAGGCCTTTTCAGTAAAACAAACACTGATACTGATATTGGCGCTGTCTGCTACTCCTACAACTTCCTTCAATGTATTTTTATACTGCTTAGCAAAATTCTACTGAAATACCATCTGTCAAACAAGAATGCAACACAAAGGCATTTATCAGACAACAAAACAGAAGAAGATAATAATAATAAAGAGTTCACAGTTACAGTAGGGAGGCTGTTAAAGAGACTTTGTTGAACCAAATCAAATTAGACACAAACTAATCTCAAGTTCTGGATGTAAACAGTGATTAAAACCCGAGAACATAATGTTTGTTCAGAAAAGAAAAAAATTGTTCATGTTGACCCTTTTAGATTGTGTGGTGAGCATGTTACTTCAACTAATTTAACTTTAAAAACTCCCTTTCAGTGATTTTTGTGTCGCAAAGACACTGTAGGTGAATGTAAGCAGCAGTAGCTAACTATCTAGCTTGTTTAATAAACTTCACTTTTTTACCCTTAGAGTTTCTGAATTAGATTGTCTCAGGTATCTACAGGTGAATGCTAATGTTAGCTAGCTTCTTTAGCCTTAAATTACTGTTTAGCTAGCTATTGTTAGCTAGCATATAACTTTAGCCTTACAGTTTAGCTAGCTATTGTTAGCTAGGTTCTAGCTAGCTATGATTAGTTGTTTTAGAGACACATTTTCACATCAGTATAGAATTTATTATTTCATGTTAATAGTCTTATTATATTATGGTGGTTTAGTTAGTCTATATTTTTGATATTAACTTCTATAACAGACACCATCTTTGTTTTCACTCAGGAATTCAGGGGTTTTACCTGTTGGGTCATTGAACAATATTAAAATACATGTGTGCTGAAGGCTCAGTGATTATATTAGCAGTGCTGGAAAGTAATGAAGTACATTTACTACATTTCAGAGGGAAATATTCTTCTTTCTACTGCACTACATTTATCTGACAGCTTTAGTTAAACAACATACTGTAATGACTGTAACACTTGAGTTCACTGAAGCATGTGTCACTGAGCTGGCTTCACTTTCACCCTGGAGGAAAAGTTGAGCCCCCCCACCCCCCATTGTCATTGTGTAATTCTCACTCTGGTCATAAGGGTCATTTTGGGAGGAAATGGCAAATGAGCTGTTCTCTTTTCAGGGACTTGTTGGACTCTGCATATTTAAAGCTTTAGTTGTGGGCTGGTCTCCACAGTCTACTGCACTCTGTCTTTGTAAGCTCCTTTGTGAAAGACTGTAGGAACACAATTACACACAGTGAGCGCTGGGATTGAGTGTCAGGGACACTGCGCTACGCCGCTCTCTCTGCTCAGGAATGTGCATATCCATACTGGTACTGTACATGGTCTCCGCAGTGAGGGAAGAAAAGTGAGAGGAGATATGTGGCAACCATAATGTTCCTGTCAAATATTTGACAAGAAGAAAATGTGCCCGTAAGTATGAGCACATGGTTGTGTCAACACAGAGTCACAAAGCCGTTTCCCTGTAGCCTGCAGGCACTGTTCTGCTCTGTGCCACTCCCAAGAGCTTGGGAGGAGGCTGTGGAAGGAGGGGCCTGGCTCCCCGCTCTCAAGCCCACACAGGTGAGCTCCTGTTGGAGAGGAATGCAGCAGGGAGGGGGCCTGACGCACAGAGGTGTGGAGCTTTTAACCTCCAACAGGGTGGGGAAGAGATAGAGCCACAGGAAGGGAGTTAACCGTCAGTCACCGCTACTCACCTGGAAAGGGGAGGG